CTGATAAGTGAATGCAGTCAATATTCGTTGATAAGGAAACCAATAACTTTAAATTGGGGTTAATGTAACATTTTCCAATTAAAAAACAGTAGGATGTTTTTCTTCGGAGGCTTAAGATCTCATTGCTTAGTGGCTTTCAAAAACAGGTCTGCTCAACGTAGTTGGGAATATTTTCACTATTATTTTTAGCATGCTCTCATAGATACAGCAGTCCTTCTCCTTTAGCCTTTCATCTAAGATCCTGTTATATTTTACTATGAGAGCAAAAATAGTTATGCACATTGTCAGTAAAAAAATTGAAAAGTAGTGATGCTTTCTTCTGACTTCTTATACAGGAGTGGTCGTCACAGAAATTGCCCTATATGCCGTCTACAGGTGACTGCTGCAAATGATTCTTGGGTTGTATCTGATGCACCTACAGAGGAAGATATTGCCACTTACATACTCAACCTGGTGGATGAGGCAGGCCAGCCCCATATACCCTGATATTAGCAATGTTCGTAGACTTAACATTTCCCAAGATACCATTTTTATTATTCTTTACTCATTACACTGGTTTCTAGAAGCTAAATCATTCTTCAAAAATAGTGTGTGAAAACCAACCTGTATTTATAATTTTTATTAATTTCTTTGATAATATTTGCAGTAAATACACTACGAATTTTCTGATATTTTATGAGGTACTGGAATAGGAGGTATTTTAGCCCTAGTATAACTGTTAAGTGCTAGCTTGTTAAAATTTGACTTCATTGTCTCAGTTGCAAAGAATATGGGTGGTTAAAAGATCTGTTGTCCAACACTGTCTAAAAAGTAAAGCTTAGTGCTTAAATATGAATTAAAATGAAGAGAGTCCTTGAACTTAGTAATTTCTGTTCTCCCATGTAATAAATGTTGCCATTGTTGTTATTTACATGTGTTTGGTTAAATCAGCAATTAGTATGTTCTGTTCCTATAACTTTTATGGAAGCAGATTATTTTTATAAATGATTGACTGTTTCGCTTCTATTCAAAGATAATTTTCTAAGCAAGTATTAATTACTTATAGTTTGTCTATGCAGTATCATGGATGGATCCAGCAAAAGCTTCTTACGGTAGCTTCTCTATCAGTAGAAGGCTTCTGATGTAGCAGAAAGCAGTCTTTATTCCCTTTTTCCCTTCTCTTTGTTTCCTACATGCCCTGAAAAACTGCCCCAAAGGCTAGAAATTCTCCAAAACAGCGAAGCTGTGGGCTATAGTGTAGATAGTAAAAATCTTCTGTATTCTGCTGTGTCTCCTTGCAAGTGCTTCTGGCAAAACACATGCTGATTACACATCATAAAATAAACCATGTTTATTGGTATTTATTTTGTTTTGTTTAGCCTAGTCTTCAATTTATGAGTTTGTAGAATTTGCCATTATGATGAAAAGAGATGGTAAAGCACAGAGAATTCTTGGTTTCTTTTCCTGTAGGTACAATCTGAAGCAAAAAGGAATCTCTCATTTTACTGTCACTACTTTGCTGTAATGTAGTATGTATGTTGTAATCAAGTGTTGGTGTCAGGTATGACAATGTGTCCTTAGTTGTTAACTTTCCAGATGACATTGATAGATGCCAGAAAGCCACCATTTTCCAGTTCACAAAATTGGTACTGATTTTTAAAAAAAACTTTATTTCAAATGGCAGCTTAAAAATGGCCCTGGCCCAAAAAGATCAAGTCCCTAGGCAGATTGGGCCAGAGCAAATCCCCAGATTGATGCAGTACTTACATTGGATTTTATACTTTTCACAACTACTATTATTATAATTGCTATTCACAGAATGGATTTGGTGCCACGCAAGGAAAGATGGATTAATAGTTAAAGGATTTATGGCCTTATTTGGAATTGTCTGATAAATATGTATAATAAAATTCTTTTCTATCCTTGCTGAAATGTTGCACGTAAATATAGGTTAAACTAATTAAATTGCAAATCTGTAATATTACTTAAACATTTCTATAAATTACATACAGGTATTGAACTTTAGCACTTCAGAATATGGGAAACATTGTGGTTTTTAAGAGTTTATCAGATTCTCCCTAGATTAGTAAACTATAGCAGAAGTTATTGTTTTTATATAATGTGATGTGCTGAAGAGAAGGTTTAAAGAGCAATTCTTATTACTTACGAAAGCTTTGATATACCGAAATACTTTCTGACAATTGATTTTAAGTGGGCTTTGAAATTCAGAGTAAGCAGAACATGTTTTTCTTGTTTTTGTTTTGGAGTGTTTTTTTCACTTGCTATAAAGCTGATTGTGGATTTGATTTTCCCCGCATCCTTAGATATATTTGGACTTGCAGTGTTGTGATCAAAGTGCCTAGTAGTTTAATATTGACATGGTAGAAACAATAAGCCATTCTTTGTTTTTCTTCATATAAAGTTTGATCTGATGGTGCAAATCTTTTGTAGTGTAAGCATTAGACCATTAAATCCTGACATTACTTTTCTTTTTTTCCTGCCATGAGTATAAAGACTTATACCAAATCTTGAAGAGATGGAAGCTTTAAAATATGGGTATGCAGAATATAATGCCAACAGAGGGGAACATGTAATTATAGGTTCAGTAATTTCACAATTTGTAAATATGTGTAAAGTGAACATGTGAATTATAGTGTTTATATCTTTTTAAATAAATACACACATTGGTATAAGTACTGTAATGGGTACCTTGTAAATTATATGTATTGTAGGTGTGTTTTACAGATTAATTATGGATCATTTGCTGTCTTCCTTCTCTCTGTTCCCATTGTGTTGTGAAGCTCTGCCTCTTATTAAAGGACTTCTAGTCTAGATCTGTGAGACTACAGGAGAAGCGATAACACTCAAAGACATAGAAGAAGAGATTACTACAAGTTGCTTGCCCGTGGCCTTTTGACGCATACTCTATCACCATAAGCATATGGCAAACTAGAAGCCTACTGTATGAAATAAATGTGTTACTAATCAAACATAATTTAATTGTGTAAAACTGCAGCCCATTTGATAAGTTATTCTTCTAGCATTCAATCTGATGAAGATTGACAAATTTAAAAAAAGGGTTTTTTAAAGACATTTTCAAGAGATGAATTGCTGTTAGAGAAGAAAAGATGCATTCCTAAGTTCTTTTGTGTGGATGTGAACATTTCTTAGTGGTTTTATATAAAGACTGTTAATAACTATAAGCAATTTAATGTATTATGAGTTTTGAGCAATAAACACTTGAATTTCATTCCTCTTTGTGTAATATTTAATGGGATACCTTCTCTTAAGTATTTGGATTCACAGGAAGATGTTTCAGTGTATACACACAAAATAATTTCAAGAAAGTGATTTATAACTTTATATATTCCCAACCAGAGATGTGCAAATCATTTTGACCTTGTATTCACTTTAATTATTTTGAGCTTGAAACCAAATGTGTTTTGATAGAGTAGTCTCTATATCAAAAAGAAACCAGTTTTATTCTGTCTTTGGAATGAAATCTGTGCTGTTTCTGGGGTTGTGTTGGAGCTGTTATTTGGCTTATGACTGAGTTCCCTTTTTTCCCCAACATTTTACCACCTAGCTTTTCTAGCAGCAGAGACCGGTCTTCCTGCTGCTATCGGTTACTGGATGATTAGCAAATGGAAAGTTGAGAGGAAAGCAGCAGTTAACTACATGGCTAAACAGAAAAATACTACTCACACTGTATGCCTGACAGTTATGTTGTTGCTTTTTTTTGTTTTATCTCTGTGCTACAGAGAAGTTGTGGGTCAGTGAGCTTCATGCCTGTAATACTATGCTTTATTTTGCAAGAAGGTACTGTAGCACAAAGAAGTGCACTGCTGTGCTTTATGTGCAAGCATTTTCTAATCCTGAGGTGGTATAAATACCAAGACTAGTACAGTATGAATTATATTGAGCTTTGGTGTGTGCCTGTACATTCAGTGTGTGTTTTGGTTGGCAGGGTGCATTGAAACCCTGAAAGCATGTGTTGGGGGGGAGACAGCTGTGCATATTCTTATGTCATATTGTGCTTCCAGATTGCATTAAAGTGCCAAGAAGACAGACTCTTTATTGAAAAGACTCTTTTTTAAGGGGGGAGGCTTTAAACTGTTGTTTAACTTAAACTAACTCAGTTCCACGTGTGTGTGATTGCTTCTTTTGTCCTGTGAGCTGTTTACAATCTGGCTGTAGCAGTGTCAAAGTCCTGTTTTTTAACAGAGTTGTAAGCAGCACAGCTGCATCGATAACTTTAAAAACAACAGCACATAACTGTAGTGAATGTGCAGGTTGCTAATGTCCCATATGATAGAATTAAAACATTGATTGGCTTCATTTGAATTCTGGATTCTGAACAGAGTCATTCAGTTCCTCAGTAAACTCATGAGATGCTCATTGAACCTATTAACACAATACCAAGAGTTCTCCAGGACAATATTATGATCTCAAGTATGCATAACCTGAAGATATACATACATAAAAGGTTGAAATACAAAGAATTCCTGTGTTGTGCAGAGATATAAAACAATGAGCAAATTATAATAAATAAATGAGCAAACAAATATGGCAACATACATATCTAATATAGTTCTTAGCTAAACTGTTTCCCTTATTTCTGTAGAGAACAGATGACCTTTGAAATACTCTATTTCAGTGTTACTTGGAAGTTACTTTCTCCTGCAAATTCCACTTTAATTGGGCTGGAGAATTCTCCCAACCTTGGCTCAGGGTTCCTTCCACCATCAAATGGAGTTTTGTCTTTTCTTTAAAAGAATCACAATATCTTAAAATCTAGCAAAGTGAGAGGAACCATCTGTCTCTGTGCCTACGTGACAGGATGTCTCTCCCTCTGTAATGTTGATTGAAAATCCGATGCTACCTTGTCAGTGAATGCAGTCTGGGTGTTACAGCTGAATAATCAGCACCATGAGAAAGAATACTTGCCTGTTTGCTTTCTCCTGGGAAGTGTTGGATGTGTCTGCTGCTGCTAAGTTCCAACTGCTCAATAAGTTCTAATAAAAAGACAGTTGAGGAGAAAGACGAGCTGCCTTTGTTCTGTGTTAATATGATAGCTCAGCACCCCAGAGGACACATTTAAGAACTGAAAGAGTCTGTTGAGAATCTAGAGTTCAACCGAGCCCCAAACACTGCTTTAACTCTATCAAATGGGATGTTTTTATTATTTTCAAAAAGAAAAATTGAAATCACCATCGATCAATTGCAGGCTGAGTGTCCCTTAGTAGCCAGCATGAGTTGCTATCCCATCTATTGCTGTGCTGGGAATAGGTGGCTTGCCTTAAACTCCCAATGTTTCCTATAGCTAGAAAACTTTAAAAGTTTTTAGTTTTGTTCTGAGGGAGCAGTTAAAGTGTTTTGAGTTATATTCTGCCAGAACATTGTCAACTGGAAACTTTCCTGTTAGTGCAGCCAGGGCGCTCCATAGTGGTATTTCCATCACACTCATTCTAGAGGAGGAGAATCTTTAGGACTAAGAACCAAGAACCATCTGGATGCCTGATGTAGTCCCTGGCTGCAGAGATTTTCCAGTGATTTTCATACACCATATGCTTCCTGTTCCCTGAGGTCAACAAGTGAGGATCTCCCACAGTGTTAGTGCTTCTCAACCCTCCCTTTAGTGAACAACCCCATGGCAGCACTAGTTATGAAGGCCATTGTGAACAAAGACAGAAAAGATGTTCCTAAACACCTAGGGGACGGGTGATTAGATACCCTGTAGTGGTGACTCCATGAGGCCAGAGTCTTAGCCATAAGAGTGTTCCTCATCTCAGTCTTTGATGGAGCCTCTGTCCTATGGGCAAAGCAGCTAACCCCAAACTGCTTCTGAGTACAGAGAACTTACAAATGAACTTTCATGGCAGATGCTAGTGAAGATACTGCAGAATTCTCAACTAGGCAACTCTGGCTGAAGAACTGGAACATGGACTTTTAAGTCAAAATCAGTCCTTATCCCATTCAAGGAGAAGGAAGCTTTTACCTCCCTCAATGATTTCCTAATTGAAATAAAGTTTAAAAAAGAAAGCCCTACCTTAACTAACAAAAAGTACAAAGGACCACTGACTCCTTTCACCCTAATGCATCCCACTCTGGAACCGCAGCAGACACAGAACTGTGGGGTGGGGAAGAGAGGCTTCAGAACAAGCTACATCAACCTCTAGCCAAGTCCAAGGGAAACAGCTTCCCCTGCTCCCAAAAACAGGGTTGTAAACAATAATTGGCCCAACCTACTAGTGTGGGAGGTTGATGAATGTTGCCTGTCCAAGGTCCTACATAACATCAGGTGCATGAGTCCTACAGACAGCCTCAGAGGGCTAGACCTCTGAGACTTCAATAGGCTTCTCCAAGTCATACAAATTTACTAAACATCAAGTAGTTCTTAAGTCTATAAATCACCTGAGCATACAATCAAATAGGTCTCACCATGCCTGTGTCATATTATGTATTCTTCATTATATCCAATTCTTTCATAGTGGTTTCATAGTTTTTCTACAATCAATCTTATCAGAAGTTCTTGTGTCTTCCACAATTCAGTCTTCTACTTATCCCACACCAAGATCCGACTAGAGAAGGACTGGCACAAACTGGACATCAGATGAGTCAGAAAGATCCAGCTGCGAATGGAGTCCTCAGTGTCTCTCTCGTCTTCTAGCAGTCCTTCAATTGCTCTATCTGGGCTGCAAGCCTTGCTGACAGTGATCTCCAGGTGGATCAAGGCCTGCCTTAAGCTAGCCTACAAGGTACAAAAGAAATCTGTTCCATAGAGAAGTGCGAGGTATTCCCTTAGAAGTACAGATGCTGATGCCTCCTGTTATAGGTATCTGTGGGACTGCCACATGGTTTTCCATGTCCTATTTTATAAAATACAAATTTAACTCATTTGGGAGGAGGGTGCTCAGAAAATAGTCCCTAGCAACCCACTACCCACCACCAATTCAAGTTCCTGCTTGGGGCAGCTTTGGGATGTTCTAATATGGAACGCTATGGCTGCATTGCAGGAAAAATATTAATTGTATTTCCTCTCTAGGCCTATTTTCTACAATACAAATAAGGCATCCAACCTATCCAGGCACTAAAAAAAAAAAAAAGTACCCAGCGCCCCATCAGTATTGTCAATCAGTTGTACATACTTGCATATATTTCTCCTTTTCACATTTTAAAAATTTAAAATTTTAATTTTTTGTGTTCTCCTTGGGGCTTGTCATTCTAAAAGTGGGGATGGAGATATCTCTTCTCACCAAAAGTAACATTAGGAATCTTCTAACTTTGCCTCCAGAGCAGATGGAAGGAAGAGTGCTGCCAGGGAATACTCTCCCTCTCCTGGCCTTTGAGGTAAATCCAATGCACCAATGTTCAGTTCCCAACTCCATAAATGCAGCTTGTAAATTGGAATAATGGTGCTATGGAAGATTGAAATGTGCAAAGCATTCAAAAGGGCCTCTTTGCAAACCACACTGGTGCAAGCAAAGCACTCTCCTCAAAGCAATAAAGCAGCTATTGTACAGCCGTTTTGCTTCACTGATACTCACACCACAAGGGCCTGAGGAAAGCCTTCAAAGCAGGCACACCTCATGGTGTAGCGGTTGTAACTCTGTAAGCCTTCAAGGAGGGGTACCTCACTCATGCCAACATGCTTTGGAAGTACCCTTTGCACAGCTCTAATCAGAATGTATCTAAAGCGGTTGCATCTTGGTCGTGTACATCTCAAAGTAGTTGACGGGAATCAAAAGGAGAAGGAACACTTCTGCCCAATGGCTTCACACAAACATCTGACTGGAAGTTG